AATAAATAAATGGAGAACCAAAAGTCACGTGGGAAATTGTCTCAAGAAGGAGGGGTGATTTGCTGGGTCACATGTTGCTGATGGAGCAGTTCAGATAAAGACTAAGAATTTGACCCTGGATTTTAGAAACGTAGAGGCCATTGATTTCTTTGACAAGCCCAAGTTTGAGGAAGTGCTGAGAAGAGTACATTTAGGAGAGGAGAGATGGGCAACAGGAGGAATGGAAGATAGCAGGTAACATCACTTTGAGGACGAATCTGTCGTGTGGCAGGTTCTGTGCCAGGAGGTAAAAATAGATGGTGAGCCAGGCAGGCTGTCTGCCTCTGAGGAGCCCACAGTCCAGTGGAAGAGAGATGCTTAACTAAATCATCATAAAGGGACACGAGAAGCGATGAGGTATGCACAGGGAACGCCATGAGCACAGCAGAGGGAGTAACCGGTTCCCTCTTAGAAGAAGGTGTTTGAATTCAGGCTGCAGGAGAATCAGGTTTCCAGGTGGGCAGGAGGGAGGGCTTTCACTCCAGAGATTTTCTGTTTTTGTTTTTTGCGGTACGCAGGCCTCTCACTGTTGTGGCCTCTCCTGTTGCGGAGCACAGGCTCCGGACGCGCAGGCTCAGCGGCCATGGCTCACGGGCCCAGCCGCTCCGCGACATGTGGGATCTTCCCGGACCGGGGCACGAACCCGTGTCCCCAGCATCGGCAGACGGACTCTCAACCACTGTGCCACCAGGGAAGCCCCTTCACTCCAGAGTTTTTAAGAGAAAGACTATTTTTCCTTCTTTCTATCATAATCTCCAGCTACCAAAGAAGCTGGTCCACAGCAGACGCTCAGTCTATATTTGCCAAATGATTTCATGAGTTGCAGTGGAAGGAATTTGCAAGAAAAAGAACTGCAAAAGAAACCATTACAATAATGTACAGTATGAGCGAGGATAGAGAAGAGAAAGAGTTTAAAGGGGATTTAAAAGGTCCTGATCTGTTAAGAAGGAAGGAGGGTTGTTGCAGATACTTCGAATGCTCACACTTTTGCTAACTGGATTAGTTGAGGGCGGGTACCTTGCGTTAATGGCTTTGTACTCTCAAGGTCTAGGAGAATGCGTGCTGCTTGACTGCTTGATTGATTGAAGGCTATTGCCTGTGGGGAAGTGTGTAGGAGAAGCAGTGATATGGGAGAGTTGGGGACGGGATGAGAGTGAGATTGGAGAAGACAGTGGGAGAGCTGCCATCAGATGTTGGGCTTATAGGCACAGAAGAGGGACAGAAAGAAATGAGGGAGATAGAGATGATATAGAGAGAGAGATTGGACCAGGTATGCGGATTTATGTGTCAGTTTATAGGTGATATCCAAATGCATGGAGTTGCATGAACTTTCGCAAGGATAACATCTAGAGTGAGGAGAAGTCGGAGTCGGAATGCTAGGAGATGACACACTGAAGGGGCAGGTGGAGGAAGGGCAAGTACCGGAGCCTGGAGAGCAGCCTGCAGAGAGATGAGACTAGAATGAGGGTGGACTGTTTCACAGCCACATAAGAAGAAAGTCTTGGGGAAGGAAGGAGAATCAATACCACAGAGTCTTCAGAGAAGACCAGTAGAGTGTGGAATGAACATAGGTCTGATCTGGCCATTAGGAGGGCACGAGAAATCTTAGTGAGCAGATTAGATGGGAAGATGCAGCTTGTGAAACAAGGTTGAGATGGATTGAGAGTTTACATGAATAACAAGGGAAACAGTAGAGGCTATGAGGGTGGATGACTCCCTCCAGAGGTAGACATGTTTTTCTATGAGCATATTGGTGAAGAGAAGAAAGGCAGGTATTAGTTGATGGCATGAGAGCAGGGGTGGGAGATGATTCTTTAATAAATTGGTAAAGATTTAGACTCACATGCTCTTTCAATCTAAGATATAAAAGAGGAGTGAAGACCTAGGAGAGGTGAAAAGGATGGAACCCACAGTTCAAGAAACATCATCTTAGAGGAAAGCACAGGGTACTTTTCTTCCCCTGAGAGAGGACAGACAGACGGACAGAGGAGGAAGGATAGGAGAGGCAGAGACTGGAGACCAGGGGGCTCTCTCATGATGCCCTTCATTTGGGGAGATAAGCGAAGGAGGAGACAAGGTCACCTGCTGAGGCAGAGGGGAGGGGATTGCGTGGTGAAGATTTGGACTGAAGGTCTTGTGGAGATCGGTACGCTCTGTACCTCTGCGGCCTGAGAAAGGCATGGAGGGGGTGGTGGAGATGCTGGACGGAAAAGGAATGTTGGAAAATGAGTGTCTTGAGGAGAATGACATTGAAAGGCCTGACTGTGGACATGGGAGGAAGAGAAGATGAACACAGGACACAGCTGAGAGACTCGGTTGAGGAGAAAAGCTGGTGGGCTGGCTGTGCAGAGGGCTGGAAGAAGGAACTTGATTCCAGATCGTCTGCCTTGGGACCTCAGAGTTGGAGATCATGTTTGATAGCTCTGACGTCTCCATGACGGTATCCTTCTCCATGGGCATCCAATGGGCTCCTTGTGCCCAAGTTTCAACTGCTCTGAAACACATCTGCTTCTCCCTTTGGGGTGCCCTCCCTGGACCCCTCAAAGGGAATATTACAAATGTCTCCTCGTCTGTGTTTTGAGTCAGATCATTTTAATCATTTCCTTCCAGTTTGGTGAAAACAGAAACCTAAGGCTGTATAGTTCCTCACATCCTCTAACTGTTTCTCATTATTTTGCATGGAGTCCTTTCATTTTCATAACTTGGTAGTAAGCTAATTGAAAGTGAGAAACACATCTTACAGTCCCTCCTTTTCTGTATAACCCATTTCACGTGACCTGCTGTTAACACATGCAGGGCACTCAATAGATGTTAGTGTGAAGCTGGATTCATTTACTGATGGGGTCCCTACTATTGTTTAAACTATAGAAATGCCCAAATTGTCATGAATCACTGAAAGCACTTGCTTAAAGATGACATCATGCATTAAGTAATTCAGCAAAACTGGTTGACTGTCTACGTAGCCCAGCCCCCATGCTAAACAAGATAATAACAAGAGACCCCTCCCCATACTCCCGGCCTCAGGAAGCCTACAGTCTTGCAGAGGGCACAGTACTTACAAATGACAATAGCACAGTGGAAAAGGGATTGGGGTATTACAGAAGGGATACAGGTGCACAGAGTGGCAATGGAGCCCCTCGGGCTGGGTCAGGGAAAACTTGGCAGAGGTGATGATACTGAGTCAGGCCAAGGAACACATAGAATCTTAGTAGACAGGGAAGGGAGAGATAAACAGACTGCCTCAGCAAGGGCATGAGGACTAGAGAGCACTGTGGGCTTTGAGATCATCAGGTTGAGGTGTCAGATCAGGCAGAAAGGTGGGTAGGAGCCAGTACAAATGCCAACCTGGTTTTCAAATTTTAGCCACAGAAATATTTAAGCAAACAGTCTCACTGGAATGCTGTAAGTAAAACAGACAACAACCCAGCAGGTCAGGTTGGGAGGAGGGAGGAGGGAGGCCCACGTGCTCAGCTCCTCTGAAATGTTCTCACCTCTCAGCATCTGAGGGGCCTCTGAGGAACCCCTGGAGCTTTGAAGGGGGAATTTGAAAATCGCTGCTGTGGCAATGGGGGAAGAAGTGGGTGACTATTAAAAACAAGGACAAACGTGCTCAGGTAGACCAGTTGTTTAAATAGCAGGAGGGTTTTGAACAATTACAGGAGAGGAGACCACAGCAGGGGGAGGTGAGAGAGGAGCCCAGCCTGGCCTAGGGCAGCGGGAAGCGGGGAGGACACGGTGGATTCCAGAGAGATCGCTGCAGCTCTTTACATGTGGCAACCGCGTTAATTAGAGACTGGATAAAGGGGACCAACCAGAGAGAATCATGGGGGAAACCAAAGGGCTTTGGGAACAGTGTCCTAGCAACTGGAGTGGTCAGTGTAACAGAGCCCTAATTATGCCAGAGAGAAAACCAGGCAGGACAGGGCTGAAACCATGACTGTCTTCTGAATCTCCAGGACACAAAGGCATGGGGCCCTGGGGCCCTATGGGGCCCAGCCAACCAGTGTCCCGATTTGTAAACAAACCTTGTTACGCTGCTGGGGTGGGGAAATTATAGAGCCAAGTGCCGACAGGGCTCAGTGGAGATGGCCCACACATGCTGAAGGGAGGGAGGGAGGGAGGGAATTACACTGAAGGCAGTGTAATTTGGAAAAATATTTTTAGAAAGCAATTTGCATACTGTAGTCATTAAAATGTTCAAAGCACTTAAACTAGGAATTCTACATGTGGGAATGTAGAATGCCCTAAGGAAATAGTCCAAAAGAAGGAAGAGCCTAGGTTCATCCATCCAAATGTTAATTAATCAATTAATTAGGAATTATACATTGCACTATATACATTCCAGGAACTCTGCTAGGGGGGGTGGCCATGTTCGCTGTGGCCACGCTCATAATAGTAGAGCCCGGAAAACAACGTAAATTATTTAAAATGCCGCAATGGTTTAATACGGTATGAGACATCCGCATGATAGACTATTATGCCTTAAAGCTGCATGACACAAGCAGAATTCAATTGCTTCTCCTGAGTTTACTACCTGGGCTTGAATTCTGACGGTACTGTGTGCTGGCCCCTGACCTCTGGCAAGTTCATTAGCACCTCTAAGGCTCAGTATCTTTCATCGGAAGGCGGGCACAGTGATATCAACATCTCATGGGATTCCTGTCAAGATTAAATGAGAAAAGGTGTACACATTCAGCATGATTCCTAGCACAAAACAAGCACTCATTAAAAGCGAGTTGTTATTTTAAATATGATAAATGCGGACAAACAGAAAAAGACAGACTGCTTCAAGTGGACCGCCCCCAGTTTATAGCCCCAGGAAAATAGCCCCAGGAAAATCTGTGTGATTTGTCTTCTGTGTTTTGTTTAGACAATCAAGACCTAGACAAAGCACTTTGACCTATCAGTTCCTCCAAGGGAAGTCAGAGTGACGGGCAGGCTCTGCTTTTTTCTCTTCCCAGCGGTGTTCGGCCAGCGCTTGGATGAGACCGTGGCCTATGAGCAGAAATTCGGCCCCCACCTGGTGCCCATCCTGGTGGAGAAGTGTGCCGAGTTCATCCTGGAGCACGGCCTGAACGAAGAGGGCATCTTCCGACTGCCTGGGCAGGACAACCTGGTGAAGCAGCTGAGAGATGCTTTCGACGCAGGGGAGCGGCCCTCCTTTGACAGGTATGCCGTCCTCGCCTCGCCTCTCCTGTGCCCTGCTCGGCCGAGAGGACCTCTTTCTACCAGTTGAGCTATGGGACTCGGACAGATGCTTCCAAAAGCCCTGGTTTGCAACAGAAAGAACCTTTCGTTTTGCTCATAACTCAGAATTTGGGAGCCTGGAACGCAGTTAGAGGAACATTCTGATCATTTAGGTGAGAGATGATGGAACTAGAACTGGGGCCTTGCAGGGCAGTCAAGAGGTGTTTAGGATATGGTGGGAGGGGAAGGGTGGACCAACGGAGCAAGATGGGACTTAGCTCTAGGCACGCACTTCGGAGCGGGTGAGGGGTGGAGAATTGCTGAGCTGCCTGTACCGACTCTGGGTGGTGGATAAGACACCATGTCCATATCCAAGGGCTCCATGGTCTTCCTCAGCTTTCCAGAAACGGCCAGAGCCAGGACTTCTTGTTAACTTGGGCGACCACAGTTCCGTGCAACTCTGAACTTGGTTCTGAACCCTTTGGGAGGGGGTGCATACCGACATCTTGGCGTTCTCCCAATCTCCTCTGTGGAGGTTGCCCAGTCCTGTTTGGGGCATTCCAGACGCAATGACATTTCTTCCACCATCCCCCTCCCGCCCCTGCTGCTGCAGCCACCCTGCCAAGGTTTCCTTCTCTGCCCTGCTCAGCAGGTACGACCGCCACCCGACATTGTATACTTTCTGTCTGTTGTGCAATATTTGCCCCAGTTGCCTGCACGCGCTTGTCCTGCTGGCAAGAAAGAACCACTGTTGTTTCCAAATCGGCAGCCCATAAAACAGGATTCATTGAGACGGGCCTGAACTCTTCCAGTTTCCAAAGGCTGAAATCCCCCCAAGAGCTTATTTACGATAGAGGACTCGGGCTGATTCTGGGAAAATCGTGAACAGCTAAGTGTGGTGCTGTGTGGAACGTCTCGCCCTCCCTCTCCCTCACCTCCCACTCCAGTCACCAACGATGCCCACCCTCCCTCGGAAGCATCGCCGAGACCCGTCTGTTTCTCTCCATTCTCAAAGCCACTGTCTTAGTTTGGATCACCATATGTCTGTCTTTGCTGCCCTTGGCATGCAATAGGTTAATTTATCAAGGTGCTGTATTGTATCAGGAAAGCAACAGGTGAAGATGTTACTGGAACTAGAGCAGGTTAGGGGCATCAAATTTACAGAGCTTTCAGCAGGACCATAAATCACATTTCATTATCAGGCACCTATTCAATCAAGTTCACTACCTTTATATTCACTTTTCTTTTTATGGTTTTAACTAGCTTTATGTTGATCAAAAAATACAGGTGGGTTGTTGCGAAGGCAATGAGAACAGTCAGCCAGGAGGACTAGAGGTGATGGTGGGGATTGCCGAACACCTGCCCAAGGCTTGAGCTTCTGCATCTGTAAAGTCAGCCTGGGTGGTAGACTTGGAGTCTTTGATTCTGTGAAATACTTGGGGCTGGAGGGAAGAGAGTTACCACACCTTGTCATGATAGCTCCACCCTCTAGAACTGAGGGAAAGAGTTTACACATCCAGTAATAGGAAGGGTGGCCTCTGGCTCTTTGGAGTCCTCCCAGGGATGACTCTCGTGTCCACGTGACCCGTGTGGGTGCTCACCTAGATCGTCTACATAGGTCACGTAGGCAGTTCCACCAGAGATCCCCAAAATTGCCTCGCTAGAATGAAGAAAAACAAAGGCGCTCTTACTAGGTAGATTCTACCGGATGTATCTGGCGCTCATTAAACATATAAACAGTATGGGATGGATATCCATCTACTGGGATGGATACTGCCAATACACGATACACTTCCCATACCTATATTTCTGTGAGAAAATGACATACATGCCACATTATAAGGTCAGTGCTACAAGGGAAGAGTAGGCGGACCACCTGAGAGGCCCTGGCTAATCTCTGATGGGTCAGGCATTGATCTCAGAAGTTCATATAACCTCATATAGGGATGTTCAATTAGGTTGGAGGAAAAGCAGACTCAGGAAAAATCATGCTGGAAACTTAGATTATAAGCATGACATCTGATCCAGCTCTGTTACAATGGGGGCACAAACATTAAATGAAAACTGTAAAGACATAACTGTAGAATTTCCATTGTGTTAAATGCCAAAAAATGAAAAACAGATGGTATGAATACCATCTATTTTTCATTTCATTCCATTTTTTCATCATTTTTCATTTCAACAGGAGGCTTTGGACATGGTCTGCTGGATTTAGAATGCCCCCCCCAAAATGACACTTATGCTGAGACAATAAACAAGCCTGAGGACTTAGCCCCAGACCAAGCAGCATCATCTTCCCCTGGCAAAATGAATTGGGAAGTTTTCTGTGGTTTGCAATATTCTATGAGGATTTAGATGGCTAACTGTGTTTTCTGATGATAATTTTGAAGTATCATTCCTATATGTGTGGTTACACCCCCTTTCTCTTTTCTAATGTTGGCTATTAGTTTCTCCTGATTGAACTATCTATAGAGTTTGTCTTTTTTTATCGCTGTTTCTCTTCAAAAGTTTCTGGTTCTTGATGTATCATCTATACTGTTTTTCTCATTTCCAATTCTTTGTTTTCCATATTTGTTCTGTGGGTATGTTTTGAGTGTCGGGGGCTGTGCCAGTGATGGACAGTGCATTGGAGAATGGAGTCGAGGAGCCAGGAGGCCAGAAAGGGGCTGGCAGAGTCCTAGCAAAAGACCGTGGCCTCCTGGAAAAGGACAGGGAGTGAGGCCTAGAGGGATTGCTGGGACATTTGCCGAGTGGGATTAGAGGATGCGGGGTGAGGAAGAGACTTCAATCAAACCTGAGACCCTGGACTCTGATGAAGCCCACTGGGTGGACTGTGATGCAGAAGATTTGGGACAAAGGAGATTTTAGGACTTAGGAGAATGCTGCTCCTGCAAAGTGTCAGCTGGCTGCTGTCCTGCCATTTTCTGGGGAACTTCTCCTGCATTTTGACGAGAGGGCTTTGCCAAGGTATTTTTAGGCAGTGACTCAGCAGGGAAGGCTTTTCCAGAATCCCCACCTTAAGTGAATGGTCTCCACCCCCGATTTCCTGAGGGCAGCAGTGGAGCAGAGGCAGGGCTCTGTGCCAGCTCAAGTTCTCCTTCGGAGGCAGAGTTCACGGGCTGCAAAGTGGGGAACCTTTCCAGAAGACAGTTCCAACCACTGGCCGTCAAAAACCAAAAAGAAAACATTTACGTGAAACGTCAAGATAGAGAGCTCCACAGTCAAGCCTTGATGTTCTGGTTTCTGAGGCCTCAGATGCCTGCCTTCTTCTCCTGCCCAACTCCACCCCTCCCGGCTCTCCTCCAGGATGTGATCCCACCCAGCCCAGCCGCTTCTATGTCCCCATTGCTGAAGCCCAAGAGCCACTCAGATCAGCTGGACCTCTTGCCCCATCACAGCTTTTCAAAATACTACTGGGAGTGTCTCTTACAGATACCAGTTTTTCTTTTTCTTTCTTTCTTTTTTTATTGAAGTATAGTTGATTTACAAAGTTTCAGGTGTATAGCAAAGTGATTAATTTATATAAATATGTGTGTGTGTGTATATATATATATATATATATATATATATATGTATTCCTTTTCAGATTCTTTTCCATTGTAGGCTATTACAAGATATTGACTATTGTTCCCTGTGCTATACAGTAGGTCTTTGTTGTTTAGCTATTTTATATATAGTATTGTGCATCTGTTAATCCCAAATTCCCATTTGTCCCTCCACCCCCTCTTTCCTCCTTGGTAACCATGTTTGTTTTCTATGTCTGTGAGTCTATTTCTGTTTTGTTAATAAGTTCATTTGTATCAAATTTTTTTAAGATTCCACATATAAGTGATATTGTATGATATTTGTCTTTCTCTGTCTGACTTACTTTACTTAGTATGATAATCTCTAGGTCTATCCATGTTGCTGCAAATGGCATTATTTCACTCTTTTTTATGGCTGAGTAATATTCCACTGTGTATACATACCACATCTTCTTTATCCATTCATCTGTCGATGGGCATTTAGGTTGCTTCCATGTCTTCGCTATTGTAAATAGTGTTGCTATGAACATTGGGGTGCATGACCAGTTTTTCTTGATATGAAATAAATATTTTTCACTAATGAGTTTCAAGTATATGGTATATTCAGACTTATTTTCTCTTATAGAGCTGCGGAATAAACACAATAGCTCCATAAACCAGGGATCAGCAGACTTTTCTTAAAGGGCCACATATGAAATATTTAGGCTTTGCAGACCAGACAGTCTCTGCTGCAGCTACTCAACTCTGTTCTTATACCAGAATTCAGCCAAAGACAATACAAAAATGCATGAGCATGGCTATGTTCCTATAACACTTTATTTATGGATACTGAAATTCAAATTTCACATGATTTTCACATGCCATGAAATATTCTCCTTCTGAGTTTTTTCCCCAACCATTTAAAAATGTTAGATCCATTCTTAGCTCACAGGCTGTACAAATAAAGGTGATGGGCCAGGCTTGGCTGGTAACATGTATATGACTTGGTAACATTTGAGTCTGCATAGCTCTGTCACTCCATGAGGACAGAGATCCTGTGTGTCCCTCAGGTTCACTGCTGAAACCCCAGTGCCTGACATAGTGTCTTGCACCTAGTAGGTTCTCTCAACACATTGGTTGAATTAATGATTGTGTGAATATGTGAATGAATCCCAGACCTACTTTAAGCTCTCTGATAGACTAAAGAGATCAATGGGTCATAGCTATAAGGAGTTACCACATGAAAAACTAGAGACTAAGTAGAGAATGCTCAATTGTACTAAGTGACTTGGAGAAAGAAGAAAGCAATGAAGACTAGAATAGTTTAACAGGCTTATTGGAAGAGTAGACCTTAAACTTATCTTTGAGGCAGTTAGGTAGAAGAGATAAAGGAAAAGGTCTTGGGGGTTATTATTCCAGAAGGGGGAGTTGCAAAAATATTTTGGTCAGATACATCTTTATCAGACTCTACTCCTCTGCAAAATTTCTTTTTGGAAGCTGGGATCTTATTCAGTGGATCACCAAGGGGGAGGTGAGGAGAGTTCTGGAGTTTTGTTTTCAAAAAACATTGTTTGTTTTTTTCCAGAGATACAGATGTGCACACGGTAGCCTCCCTGATGAAGCTCTACCTCCGAGACCTCCCAGAGCCAGTAGTCCCCTGGAGCCAGTATGAGGGTTTCCTGCTCTGTGGTCAGCTCATGAATGCAGATGAGGGAAAGGTTTGTATCTCAATAGAGTTAGTTGTCCTGCTTCAGAAGGTGAGGGTTACTGAACACTATTCTGGTAGGCAAGCAACAGTGGGTCATGGGTGAACCCCATAACTTTTGGTGAGATACTTTGTCAAACTGGAACTCTCAGCAACAAAAGTCCAATGAATCCAATCATGGTGACAGCCTTTATGGGATGTTGCACTCCAACAAATTACTGGACTATCATTAAATACCCCCAAGTCACTCTAAAATTAGTAAGAGAATGAGGATGCTTCTGAGAAGGGTTTCAAGCAATATGGCCTTGCTAAGACCCGCTGGGACAAAAAGACAGACTGACCCACCTGGAGGGCAGGTGAGAGGTCCAAATGTTCTAGATCTGTGATGACCATGCGTGTCACGCATGGGTATACAAGAGACACATGTGCCAGGGAGAGGAAGGACAGAGCTTTTCTTGGTTCCTTTCAGCTGCAGCTGCCTGTAGGGTCTGCAGTCCCCATCTGCAGCATCATGCAGCTCCTCATCAGCAGGAATTTTGATCCTTATGTAAATTGTTTCCTTAAAGCCCTTATAGTCAACATGTTAAACACCTAACCAACCAGCAAAAGAAAACCTGACTGACAACAATAAAACCATTATGGTTTTTAACCAAGATTTGCAAAACTAAATGGCCCATGAATGCATTTGTTACACAGCTAATAAAGGGGTCTAACTGCCCATTTTGGGGAGGTTAGTGTTTAGCACTGCTATGTTAAAAGTTCTCTCTGGCAAAGTGGTGCACAGAAAAACTTGCAAAGAATTTCACTTTGATTTTGCCATTTAGCAAATGATGCATCTTCTGTGAGACTCAGTTTATTTACTTAGCCCAAGAGAACTTTCTACAATGATGGAACTCTTACCTAACTGCGCTGTCCAATGTAGTAACCACTAGTTATACGTGGCCACTAGGCACTTGAAATGTGGCTGGCACAACTGAGGAACCAAATTTCTAATTTTATTTTATTTTATAATAGTCACATGTGTCAAGTTGCTGTTGTATTAGACGGCACAAACTTAGACACATTTCATAATATCAGGATTGTTTTGGGGACCATGGGATATGTGTCACAAGTGAGTGACATTTTAAAATGATTGATTCAAGGGGATGTTTAGTCTCTGCTCTACTTCAGAATTTATTATATAGTATGCTCCCAGAAAAAGTATATATATATATATGTATATATATACATATATATATAAAATCATTGAAGAGATAGTGCCCTAGCCCTGGAAGAAAATACAGCTGTGAGAACTTCCATCCTGATTCAGAGGGAGGAGACTCACAAATTAAGTAGATCCTGGTACAAGAAAAAAGGTGGTTTTATATTTTAGCATTAGGAAAGAAAGAGCACAATAAGGATGCAACTAATGCACTATAGCCTTTGTAGCTATTTCCCAACACAAAAATTAGGTTGCATGATCTGATTTTAGGATATCTTGTGTATGATTTATGAATTTTGGGGGGGTTAAAATAGGATATGGAAAGTCTTAATTTATACAGGCATATCAGCTCACCTTTGCAAAAGTAGTACAATTTTATGGAATAAGGTTTAAAAGTTGGCTAAAAAGATGAATGCTTCCGGTGATGTCTTGCCCCACAGCTTCAGGGAAAGGAAAGGAGGTCCGTGGATGCAGTTCTGACAAGCAGACTCCCACCCCTGAACTTCCTTGGTTTAGATCTGCTTCGCCCAACTTTTCTCGATCTCAACATATTTGAGAGTTTCTAATCCATGGTAACACAGATCTGGACAGGGTGAGGGATCACAGCCTCTCTCATGGGTGAAAACGTGGCAGAGGCGATCACTGGGAGGCGTGAGTCTAAAGCAACCTTTGCAAAGAATTTACTTGACTAAACTGAAGAGGAGGGAATCAGTATGAAGCAGGCATTCTAGATCCAGTGGGGACCAAGTCACAGCATGCAGGCCGACACGCCATAGGGTGCATTTTCTCCTGGAGGAGCAGCTCAGGTTTGAGGAGAGCCTGTGTGTCTCATGTGCACTGGTGCATTTTTACACTCATGATGTTGTAGATGGTGACTGCAGACACTATAGGCACTGTGAGCAAAAAGAACAAAGAAAATTCACTGTCCTTCCTCTTCCTGGCACTTGCATTCCTTGTAGGGCTGTCTCTAACATTCAGTGTCATCATGAAGCTATAACCTTCGGACCTCTCACCTGCCTTCCAGCTTGGTCAGCTGTCCCTGGGTTCTAGCAGCTCCCAGCAAAACCATATCACATGAAACCTCAGTTCTCAGAAACATCCTCCTTTTCACAATACTTTTAAAGTGACTTGGGGGGCATTTGGTTCTGGTCGAATTCTTTATTGGAGAGTTACAGCTCAAGCATTTATTAAGCAAACAGTTATTGGGAGTATGGTGATCAAATAGTTCTTGCCTTAGAGTAGCTCTGAGGCAGGGAGGAGGACATAATCGCAGATGAATAAAAAAACACAAGGTACAAAAAAACAGTGAACCTCTCCAGGCTATTCTTGCAACTTCCTGTGGATTTACAGTGATTTCAAAATTAGAAGTTTTATAAAAATAAACAAATGGGACCTAATGAAACTTAAAAGCTTTTGCACAGCAAAGGAAACCATAAACAAGACCAAAAGACAACCCTCAGAATAGGAGAAAATATTTGCAAATGAAGAAACTGACAGAGGATTAATATCCAAAATATACAAGCAGCTCATGCAGCTCAATATCAATAAAAGAAACAACCCAATCCAAAAATGGGCAGAAGACCTAAATAGACATTTCTCCAAAGAAGATATACAGATTGCCAACAAACACATGAAGGATGCTCAACATCACTAATCATTAGAGAAATGCAAATCAGAACTACAATGAGATATCATCTCACACCAGTCAGAATGGCTATCATCAAAAAATCTGCAAACAATAAATGCTGGAGAAGGTGTGGAGAAAAGGGAACCCTCTTGCACTGTTGGTGGGAATGTAAATTGATACAGCCACTATGCAGAATAGTATGGAGGTTCCTCCAAAAACTAAAAATAGAGCTACCAAACGACCCAGCAATCCCACTACTAGGCACATACCCTGAGAAAAGCATAATTCAAAAAGGGTCATGTACCACAATGTTCATTGCAGCTCTATTTACAATAGCCAGGACATGGAAGCAACGTTAAGTGTCCACTGACAGATGAATGGATGAAGAAGATGTGGCACATACATACAATGGAATATCACTCAGCCATAAAAAGAAATGAAATTGAGTTATTTGTAGTGAGGTGGATGGACCTAGAGACTGTCATACAGAGTGAAGTAAGTCAGAAAGAGAAAAACAAATACCGTATGCTATCACATATATATGGAATCTAAAAAAAAACAAACAAAAATTGGCTCTGAAGAACCTAGGGGCAGGACAGGAATAAAGACGCAGACATAGAGAATGGACTTGAGGACACAGGGAGGGGGAAGGGTAAGCTGGGACGAAGTGAGAGAGTGGCGTAGACATATATACACTACCAAACGTTAGGTAGATAGCTAGTGGGAAGCAGCCGCATAGCACAGAGAGATCAGCCCGGTGCTTTGTGACCCACTAGAAGGGTGGGATAGGGAGGGTGGGAGGGAGGGAGACGCAAGAGGGAAGAGATATGAGGATATATGTATATGTATAGCTGATTCACTTTGTTATACAGCAGAAACTAACACACCATTGTAAAGCAATTATACTCCAATAAAGATGTTAAAACACACACACACACACACACACACACACACACAACTATGGGAACAGGAGTGACTGCCAAAGTGTTGCTTCTGCAGAGATACACCAGTTATGCTCCAGGGTCCCATTGCTGGCAAGTGAGCAGGCTCTTCTACTGGCATTAAAAATCTCTTCCCAGGCTCAGCAGGAGTTGATGAAGCAGCTCTCCATCCTTCCTCGAGACAACTATAGCCTCCTGAGCTACATCTGCAGGTAAGAGGCACCTGGTATCAGTTCCATAATTTTCAGCCACACCAGAATGAATTCCCCAGTTAGAGGAGGAAAGAGTATCTCTGTGAACTTAAGAGATTCTGTTCCAAACCTCTGGAAGGTCAACTCTATTCACATAGCACTGAGGTACTTTCCTGTGTCCCCAAGATAATTGAAAGGATCCCGGAAAACTAATCAGCATAAAAAAGAAACATGCTTCCTTCTTCAAGCCTGCCCCAGTGCTGCCCAGAGTCCTGGGACAGGCATTAGAACCCAGAATCCTTGTAATATTTCTACAATTATCTCCCATCTTCCTGTCTCTGGACCATAACTTAGCACCCCAGAGACATTCATCCCAGGCCACCTTTCTTAATTCCCTTTCTGAGGATGGACCTGCTATGTGCTGTCTCTGTGGCAACACATAGCGTGTGGATTGACCCAGATCTGGCTGAGTTGGGAGCCTGGATCTCCATGTCAGACGTAGCTGAAAGTTATCTTTATTTTTTTTTAATTTATTTATTTAATTTATTTATTTTTGGCTGCTTTAGGTGGGCTTTCTCTAGTTGCGGTACGCGGGCTTCTCATTACTGTGGCTTCTCTTGCTGTGGAGCACAGGCTCTAGGCGCATGGGCTTCAGTAGTTGTGGCTCGTGGGCTCTAGAGCACAGGCTCAGTAGTTGTGGCGCACAGGCTTAGTTGCTCTGCAGCATGTGGGATCTTCCCGGACCAGGGCTCAAACCTGTGTGCCCTGCATTGGTAGGCGGATTCTTAACCACTGTGTCACCAGGGAAGCCCTACTTTTATTTTTTTTATATAATTTTTTGTAGTTTCCAGATGATAAAAGAGTTCCATGCTTGATATGGAAACTAGGAGAATATGAAATACTGTAAATAAATGAAAATTTCCCCAAATCCCCTCACCCAGAAAAAGTCACTGTTAATATTTGAGTGTGTTTCCTTCTGAATGTTTTTGTCTCTGTGATAGATGATCACATGCATCAATATAAATATAGGGCAACAATTTTTATACCAAATTAGAAATATATTTTTTAATAAAATATATATACATATATGCTTGTATCCTGCTTCTTTTGGCTAAATGTTGTATTGTGAGCATTCTCCTATGTCACAAAGTAGGATTATACATGACTCCGTAATATTCCATAATGTTTCCTTATTTGGACGCCCCTCCCCTGCCACTTATTTGATAATTTCTCTGTATTTGGAATTTTATGTTGCTTCAGCCAATTCACTTAAAAATGGTTTTGAGAGACAATATTTAGAAGTGTTTTTTTCTGATCTTTTCAGGTTTTTAAAATAGTGAATCTGAGAGCTTCATTCCTCAAATAGGTAGGATTACAGCAAAAATTCAGCGTTAGTTTTTGAGCACTTGCTGCGAATTTGAGACGCTTGCTGTTGTAACCTGAGGATGAGAGCAGGGAGGCACCATGAATTCCCATTTCTGAGATCTTCCCACGATGAAGTTTTCTTCTCTGGAGACTCCGCTGGGATAGGTGCTGAGAGCCTGGGAGAGAAGCCTATAAAGTCAGGACCAGGGATAGTCAAACACCCATTTTAGTCCTCTTGTCTCCTCTTAGCTCCCTGAACTGGACCCTGCCTCCTGCTGATGTGACTCCTCACCCACCCCTGGCCCCAGTGCCACCATCAGCAGCTGGGTTGCGTGTGTCTCTTCTTCCTTGATCTTGACTCTTTCAGGGGGAAGCTAAATCCTTGTAGTCAGAGCAGACCGGTCCCATTCCTGAGACCAGAAGTAAAGAGTTGAGACCCACCTCTGGGATCCTGTGGGTACCTGGAAGTGCTTCCTTGTAGCAACTTCCTATTTCCTACTCTGGGATTTCCTGGTTGCCCACAGGTTTCTCCATGAAATCCAGCTGAACTGTGGAGTTAACAAGATGAGTGTGGACAATCTGGCTACTGTGATTGGTGTGAATCTCATCAGGTCGAAGGTCGAAGACCCTGCTGTGATCATGAGAGGTACGCTGGTCCTGTGGTGAATGTAGGGGCAGAGGAAGTAAAGACAGTGACATTGCTACCAAATTGCTCTGCAATTTGCCAAGCATTTTCCGTTGATCATCTTGTCTGAGTTGTAAAATAACCCTGTGAAATAAGCAGGCAGGAATTATGTTCATTTTCCAGGTCACAGCAGAGCAGAGAGGTTAAAGATTTACCAATTATCACACAGTATGATAGGCTAGCACGAGAACAGTTAGTTAGTGTTTCTTAGTCTTTTAGTACTTTTAAACATCCTTAGCCAGAGAGAGCAAACAAGTGTGATTTTATAAGACAACTCCCAAAGAGGTTACTTGTAAGGCTGTGCTGAAAAGACTTCTGAGGTAGTGTCTTGGTTCAGTGAACAAGAGTCCTGACACAGAGTACTGATGTCTGCCATGGTTTGGGGGAGGCAGTATGCCTGGTATTCATCCTCTATGCATGCAATAAGAAATCAGATGTCATATTGAGGGTCACATCAAGAGAGAAAGATGTATTCATTTTCTTTCCTGTCGTATTGCCTATAACCTGATCAAAGACTGATCCAGAGAACTGTAGGCCGAAAATAACCCTCTTTCACCCCACTGCCATATTCTTCCTCTACCCCATCCCATTCACCACAATCTCCTACCCCAAGCAATTAAGAAGGATCCTGTGAGGAGCAAATGAGGTCCTTTGGGGCCATGTGGTTTTAGAGTCAAGTTTAGAGACAGATATCTCATGGGTGGAGAACCTTGAGGACCACCTGCCCTCTGCCCCATAGTCCAGCACTACAAATCTCTTTCTTCTTTCTTTCAGGAACTCCTCAAATCCAAAGAGTGATGACCATGATGATCAGAGACCATGAAATCCTCTTTCCCAAATCCAAGGATGCACCCTTGTCACCCCCTGCCCCCAAAAATGACCCCAAGAAACCTCCAGTGGCGCGAAGCTCTGTGGGCTGGGATGCCACTGAGGACCCTCCAATTTCTAGGACAGATAGCGTCGGTAACATGGTAAGGTGCAGAGAGCCTTCCTCCTTCCATCCGACTCTTCCTTCAGTCCAGGTCATTCCATGTAAGAGCTGCTCTGGAGTGGCGATTTAGGGAGTCCTGGGTGATGCTGTGGCAGTGGGCACAGCTGATATAGACCCATTTGAATGAATCTTGAAAGCCTGGCCTCTTTCAAAATCTAGTTTCTAGTTGGTATCCTGGAGGTGGGATTGGTGACATGTGTGCCCATCCCCCAGTGACTAAGCAATGGGAGTCCTCACTAAAGCCCACTCTAAACCCTTTTAAACTCAGTCCAGGGAATTTCGATGGGGAAACTACATATCGCAGTGTTAATGTTCTAGTGAGAGTTGTTGAAAATTCCGGGTGAAAGTCCAGAGAGAACGGTTTCCTGCTAAGCCATGAAACGTGATTCCTTTCTCAGAGTATGTGATGTGTTTGTGTAATATTTCTCATTCCCTGATAAGCTGTCTCAGCAATGTCAACCCCCTCATTTGTACTGAAGGGTTGGGGCTCACGTTCACAATGTCAAAAAACTCTGCAGACTCTGAGATTTAGACTATTTAGGCCAATAATTTACAAAGCTCAAATATTTTAACGTATTTATAGAGGCAAATATTTTTTAAAAGAACGTGTGAACTTTATATAGCAGCGTAATTCTTTATGTGTGGTCAAGGAATGAATGTAAAATTTCCAGTTTGCCGGGTAATGTCCGTTGCCTACTGTTAATCCCGAGGTTGATTAAGAATGTATTGGAAAAAAGATGGTGGTAGTTGTGATTTTTCTTGGGTGAGGCCTGTCTGGACACAGTGCATTTACTAATACTCTAAAATCAAATTAATATTTAGAAATGTTTATACGTCATATAATGAAATCATCCTAGACGTCTTTGAGAGTAGCCAGTGTTGTACTCAGTTGACAGGTTTCTGTATTTATTGTAACAGTACGGGCAGCAATGGACAGGCAGTGTGCTGGGAACCTTAAATAGAGGTTTAAGTCCAGATGGACTCCTCCATCTGGAGTCCTCACCGTTACTTTGTAGGGCAGAATTTATCATCCACATTTTATAGATGAGGCGCGGAGGCTCAGGGAGGTTGACCAGCTGTCCTAAGATGACAGCAGTAGAATGGTAGAGTGGGACTTAGATCTAGTTTGCACCTCAGGACCCAGGTCCTTCTGATTCCAGGTGGGGTTGCCAAAGCAGGTGATGAGCTAGAAGCATCAGACAGACAGCTTGAGATCTGATTCTCTCATTTTAGGGCTCAATCTTTTTAATTTAATCTAAAAATATATACGCATCACTCAAGAAAGTCAAAACAAAAGAGATACGTTTAGAACTCCTGCTCCCTCTGCTGTCTTCACCCACCTTATTTTTCCCTGCCTTTATCAGTTTCTTTTTTTATCCTTCCAGTGTTCCTTTATGCAAATATAAGCAGATATGAGTGTAAATTGTTATTTACCTCCCTTTTTACACAAAGCATAACATGCTCACTCTCTCCCTCTCCACACACACACACACACACACACACACACACACACACACTACTGTGTATCTTGAATTTTTCTGTTTAACAGATACCCTGGAGACCTTTCCATGTCAATACATAGGCAGTACCTCATACAACCTCAAGTTTCTGGCAGATGTATGGTGTTCCATCCTGTGCATGTACCGTGATCTACTCAGCCAACCTCCATAGATGAACAGGTTTCTTTTACTCCTTTGTACTACAAGCAGGGAGGCAATGAATAACCTTGACCATACTTCATTTTGTGCTCAGGCAAATGTATTTCTGGGATAAATTCCCAGAAGTATGATTGCTGAGTCAGAGGGTAAATAGATTTGTCATAGGTAATTTTGATTAAAATTGTTAAACAGTGGTTGTGCCATTTTGTACTTCCACCAGCAATGCATGAAATAACCTATTTCCCTATAGTTTCGCCAGCAGAGTGTGTTGTCAGATTTTGGAGGATTGCCCATCTGTTAGATGAGAACTAATATTTCAGTAATTTTAATTTCAGTTTGAGTTTTTCCTGTTATAAGAGTGTTCAAACATTTTTTTTATGTTGCATTTTTCCTCCATGAAATCTCTGATCTTGCTCTTTGCCCATATTTATATTAGTCTTTTTCTTCTCAATTTTTATGAACTTTATGCATTACGGAGAGTAGCCTGTTGTCTGTGATATACATTGCAAATATGTTTGTCAGTTTGTCATTTCTTCTTTGATTTAGCATGTGGTGGTTTCTTTGTTTTATTTTTAATTTTGTGGGTCATGGAAACACATGTGGGTTGAATTTATCAAATTATTCTTATATGGCTTCTGTATTTGGGTCATAGTTAGAAAAGTCCCCCCCCCCATTCTAAGGTTATAAAAGAATCCTAGTTTAGGGCCCCTTACCACAAGCAAACCATTGATTTTAGTCAGCAGTTTACCTCTAGAGCATGAGTTCCTTCAAGTATAATATCCTTTTGGAAAAATGCCACACAGATAATCAACTAATGTGACAAATTAGGAGATTGTCTTCTAATTGAGTTTCATAGGTGTGTGGCCAGGAGATACTTTCTTTCAAGTCTCTAATCCTTATCTTGGGAACGTGACACGTGTGGGAAAAACCCATGTAACATCCGTGGTCACTTTCTTCTAGGCCAGCGACTCAGATGCAACCAGCCCCACTGGACAACGGCCAAGTGATGGGTGTCTAGAAGACAAAGCATCCAGGGAAAAGCCAGGAGATTGGAAGCTGCAGTCACGAAAAAGGACTCAGACGCTCCCTAACCGGAAATGCTTCTTGACATCAGCTTTGCAAGGTGCCAACAGCTGCAAAGTAGAGATCTTTAAAAATGAGTTCTGGTCTTCTTCGGAGGGGAAGGCAGGGGACGGGCACAGGAGAACGATGTCTCAAGGTGTGCCACAGTTTCTCGACTCCCAGCGGACTTCCACCTACGATAACGTCCCCACGCAGCCGGGGTCCCCTGCGGATGAAGCCGGTACACTATCATCCCAGGCCTGTGACTCCAAGAGTGATGCTCTTGCCAGCCTAAACTCTGAAACCGGGCCTGGGAAAAATAACTCTGGAGAAGAGGAACTTGAATCTTTGCAGAGGATGGTCCAGAAGCTGCGAAAGGAAATAGAAACACAGAAGCAAATGTATGAGGAACAGATTGAAAAGTAAGTCAAAAGTAAGAGGGCCCTGGGCAGCCACTCGCCTTCCATCTTGAAAGCAATAGGGATTGTTCTCCTCTGCCAGAGAAGTGACATTATAAAACTTCAGTTACAGAAGACGTTATCTACAGCAGTTGGGCCTAATGAGGAACAGGGCAAAGGCATTGAGGAGATGACTAAATTAGTGAAAACTCTAAGCTTTACCTTACATTCATGAAAAGTTAAATATGTAGCTTAAGTAGTTTAATCAACTGTTTCCAAACAGTGGTTGTTTAAGCATCAACATGTCTTAATGAATTAAGAGAAATTTTTAAAATTTTCATATTAATGTCATTCATCAACTCTGCAAACATTTATTGAGCATCTACTACGTGCCAGGCACCATCTCAGCTGTTAGAGAATAGCACTGAACAAAACACACAAAAGCCCTTTTGCTTATAGAGCTTTCCTTCTAGCGGAGACAGACAGAGAATACAAACAGATAATTTAAACATATGCTATGTTAGATGGTGGAAAATGCTAGGGAGAGAAATAAAGCAGGGCAGGGGGTTGGGGAGCTCAGGAAGGGGGTTCCAGTGTTACATAGGGTGGTTGGGGAAGGCCTCACTGAGAAGGTGACACTCGAGCAAAGGCCTGAAGGAGGGGAGGGAACTAGTGAGGTCCACGTGGGAGGGGTTGGGGTGGGTTTGGGGGAGAGCAGGAAAGGCAGAGAGAACCGAAGTGCAGAGGCTATGGGAAGGGAGGGGTCTGGCGTGTTCATGCAGAGGAAGAGCGGTGGTTGGTGGCAGCAGGGGAGTGACTGAGGGGAGAGGGCAGAGAACGCAGAGGGCCTGGTCAGCCACCTGAAAGCCTAAGTGAGGCAGAGCTTCTGGGCACCCCTGACCTGACTGAGGCTTCACTGGGTCAGGATCACTAACTCTCCACGATCTCCGACTGCAGCGGGTGAACGGAAGCGAGGCCAGTGACATGGCCATTGCCACCATTTCACACAAATCTCTAAGATGCTCAGACATGATTTGCTCACTTGAGTAGATAAACTACTTCCTTGAAATCTTTTTCACACCACTGATTTTTCCTGAGAAGAAACCTCAATCCAGATTTGCCTGAAGTCACACTAATCAAAAGTTAGTGAAATGTGAACCTAGTGGGGTTTTCGAACGACGGGTACTTTTCAGTCCCTAGAGACTCAGGTACATGAAAGAAAGACTTTGGTTAGCCTGATCCTTTTTTCCCTGCAGAGGGCCGCCCATCTAGAACAACACGTAACTTCTTGTCTAAGAACCTGAAATCAGCTATTTATAGACTCTGAGACTTGAGCGACATCTTGGCAGTGACCAAGGCAGCCCCAGAGTAGACACTGAGCCCCAGTTTCTAGCACGGGGGTCTTTGACAGGGTGGGGAAGAACTAGCTGCCCTTGAGGTGGCCACTCCTCCTGAAGGGAACAAAGTCTTCTGAATCCACTGTCAGGGGAGCCTCCCATTCCATCCTCGGGAGAGGAAGGAGAATTAACATTCTACAGTGCCTGCTCTAAGCTTCATGCTTCAGACACACCTTCTCATAGAATCCCCTCAGTTAGCCCGTGAAATAGGTAATACCCCCATTTTACAGAAGAAATGGCAGTTTAGGAAGTATAAAAAGGTTGCACAGCTAGTCATTGGTGGGGCTGGGATTTGAACTCGGGTCAGCCAACCTCCCAAACCCACTCAGATTCTACCTCTCCACTGGAGTCAGTGGTCAAGATCTAGCATGGTGTCTCTTTTGAGGTTTCCCCCCCAAAACAAGAAAGATATGGAGACCTCAGAGAAGAAAACTAAATTTGTAATGGGTGGAATTCCAGAGGAATGAGACTAATTTGGCTTTAAGAAGAAACAGGCAGGGGCAAGCAAGGCTCTGAAGAGAGCCCATTGCCTGCAAAATGGACCAAGGCCCTTGAAGATAGAAGCCAGAGATGAGCTCAAACAGGAGCTCAAGTCTCCGTATAAAAATGAGCAGGCCATTGGGTAGCAGGGAAGCTGCATCTCACAGAAAGAAATTCTGAAGCCACTTTCCAATCATAGTCTCCTCATAGGCCTGAAATTCCCTCCTTTGGCTCAAAAATGTCATATGTACTCTCATTCCCAAGGGTTAATTCGGCACAGCCTGGAGGGAGAGAAATGGGCACCTGAGGCTAGACTGAGATTTTGGCCAGTAACAGTGAAAATCCTGCGAATTCAGGAATCCAACAGATCCTTCACTTGGAGTGGGATTCAGAAGCAAGGGTGGGACTGGCAGGACAGTTGCTCCCAAGGGGCAGCTCCCCCAGATTCTCCAAATCTCGGTCCCCAGGAGCCTTCATAAGAGAAGGCTCTGGTCCGTGCTCTGCAATGAAGCAGGATGAGAAAGCATGCATGTGCACACAGGTGCCGAGAATCTGGAATCTGGATGGGGTTCAGCAGTCAGTCAACCTTGCAACTGAGCAGGACAGATGCAAGGCGCTGTGGGGCTGTAAATATTAGAGGTGGTCTCTTCATTCAAAGACTTTATTGTGTGGTGGGAGATACAAAACACAAAATGGCATGAAAAACAACACAAGAGATGTCATGGTATGGATGACAAATGACAAAAATGGGGACAGGCTCTGGGAATTCAGGTTTACTGGGAAGTCCTCCTGTCGGGGGTGGGACATAACTAGGAAGTACAGGTTGGAGATGGGTCTTGGGATGTGGAAGGTTAAGTGGACAGAGGGGGTTGAGGGCAAGGCTGAAGAGAAAGTCTAGAGGTCACACCCCATCCTTTCATTCTTTTCTTTCCTTCCTCATAGCCTTGAAAAGGAAAATTACGATGTGTGGGCTAAGGTGGTGAGGCTCAGTGAAGAACTGGAGAAGGAGAAGAAGAAGTCTGCAGCCTTGGAAATCAGCCTCCGCAACATGGAGCGCTCCCGGGAGGATGTGGAGAGGAGGAACAAGGTCTTGGAAGAGGACGTCAAGGAATTTGTCAAATCGATGAAGGAGCCCAAGACCGATGCTTGAGCGTCCCAGGAGCACCACAGAGACAGCCTGCAGAGACCTAGCAATGCTCCCTTTCTCGCTGCTAGCTGATGACCAGGAAGCGATATTCCTCCCTAAGAACGAGAGGACATTTTGGGGGGGAAACATCACATTTCCCAGTAGATAAATCAGTGGAGTTTGCAGGAGGATAAGCATGAGCAGGGACTTGTGTGGACATCTCCGAGCCCCGGGGCTGTATTCAAAGGGATTGCATTATCCCACTGTGGTCTCAGGCTGAGTGAAGTGGCACCTCCCATGGCTGAATAGCTGTGTCCAATGGAGACTCTGCTGCAGGCCACATCCCAGGACCCAGGCAACGGGCTGACCCCAACAGAGGCTGCACTGAGGAGTTGGTTCTTTGTTTCCTGTGTGGGACATTTCACCTAGTCAGATGGCCTCCGGGTGTCTCTGAGACACAGGGGCCAAACATGATATTCAGCTTTTGATTTCTCAGCCGTGGTGGGCTGTGTTTTGAAGGGCTGCACCTACTGAAGCCGGGACCCCATTCTGCCACCCGTCCCCCCGCCATGACGCACATTCTCCAGGGCTGCAAACTCAAAATTAGTATTAGGCAAAGACAAAACAAGCAGTAAACTGGATTCAGGAAAGCAATTAGAAAATTAGATTCAAATTTAAAAAAAGCAGAGCTCTTGGCAATCCATACAACACCATTATGAGAGTAAAAGTCTCCCCTGCCTGGGGAAAGATGTGCCGCTCTCTGGGCACATGGCTTGATGAGCAGGTCACGGGCTGCATTCCAATCCCACTTGCCTTTCAGGGGCCACGACTGCATAGGGCAGGCCCACTATGATACAGCTTCCTTAGATGCTAGTTGGGTGTTTAGATAGTAACAGTCATCCTTCTGCATTAAGCCACCCTGGCCAAGGCCCCTGGTGAGGCCCCAGGCCTTGATACGTAGGATGGTGGAGTCTTTCGTGGTTTTTGTCATTGTTCTAGTTAGGTGGTCTCCAGGCTCTTTTGACCATGTACCCCATCAATAGAAAATATTTGAGCATACATTCCTCAATATAGGTATATTTATTTATTTATAAATTATACACACGTACTACTGTATTGCTATATCATAAAACATAGACAGGACAAAAATTGAATCATGATGAGATAAAAACAAATATAAGTAGATATTCTCAAATGTGCTTTTAGCTCTGGAAACTCCTGGCCCAATTTCCCAGCAGGTATTACCTGTACTAAGGTTACATAGTTCATCCCATTACTCCCATAATTTTCTTGAACTCTTGAAACCACGTGGCTGAATTAGTGGTTTGGAATCTCTGGTTACCACAGTGAGAGTTTAGTCTTCTGCAGCACCTGTGTCTCCTCCTTTATTCCTTTCTCTCCCTTCGTTTTCTGCCTTTTTCTCCTCCTCTCTGTGCTTTCTTCACTCTAGTTATTCCCCACTGCCTGTGGCCGTGACATATTACTCACAGAGTGAAAGGGATGGACAGGGGGTCGGTGTTTCTCAGTCCTGCTACCCAGACCCTGCTCCGCCCACCTCCAGCCCCCCAAGGACCAGACTGACAGAGGGCAAGGATGAGCCCTAGAGCTCCTCGTAGAGACTTGCTTACAGCAGACTGGGGGCGGGGAGACTGATTTGGAACATCGTTAAGTAAAGCAATAAAATATTTGATTTCCTGAGTTGATTTGTTTTTCAGTTACAGAGTAGCAAACATAGAAACACTTCCTGAACACCTAATGTCCACTGATGAGTGTCTGTAGTTCTGCCAGACATGTGCCATGTTCTCCCATGGGTTCCTGGCACGGACCCTTTGAATGCTAACATAGACTTGAGTATGGAAGTAGCCGGCTTCACAGTTCCAAAGGGAACATTTGTTTGAAGTAGCAAAGAGGAAGCCCTGAAGCCTGTTTTCTTGGGGGTCCACGTTATAGGACCTTGCTGGGTCTCAGGCTGGGTGGAAGACCCATGTTTGAATCCCAGGCCCCTCCTGGTCAGGTGATACCTCTCATTCCACACCTTTTGCCAGAACTGCAAGATCACAGAGCGGCAGGTCCAGCATCAGAAGACAGAAAGTCAAGTCTTCACAATCGAGAGGGGACCTGGCTTGCCTAAACTGCTCCTGTGCCACCCTCCATATGAGGAGAACACAAGAAAGAGTTTCTCCAGGACCCCAGGCCATCGTGAGTCCAAGGAAGGGCCAGGGAAGAAGATCTGGGGTCTGAGGCCACTGTCCTCAATGCCCCAAAAGACCACCTATGCTATGCATGGCAACGTAGCTCCAGGCCTTACCTGGACCTGGGAGCCAATTTCTGGAAGGCAGAGCCAGACTGACCTATGTCACCGGTACTCTCTTGGACCCAGGAGCTCCCACTGTTACTTTCAAAGCCCTGCCATGGGCAGGATCTACTGAATCTGCCTTTTTCCAGCCACCCACTCCTTCGCCGTCCCCTCTCTTCTACTGGCACAGGTGCTGAGAACTCCAAAAGGTCTGCAATATGCATGTTCAAACCCCTTGCCCTCTTCCCACCAACATTCTGCATGTCCTCACAGCCTCGAGCATGACACGTTAGGGCATTTTCTCCTAAGCATGAGGCACATCTGATGGTTTTCCATACGTGTGTGCACTGGGTAGGACACTTTGTATTAGGGGATTGGCTGGGATGAGTCCTGTCTACATCCGCTTGGACCACTCTAACGAAATCCCACGGACGGGGTGGTAGCTATTTGCCACAGCTCTGGAGGCTGGAGGCTGAGATCAAGGTAGGTGAGGCTCCTTTTCTGGGTGGCAGGCTTCTGGTTGTATCCACACATGGCAGAAGGGGGTAGGGAGCTCTGTCGGGCCTATTTTGCAGGATATTAATCCCATTCGTGAGGGCTCTACCCTTATGACTCACCTCCCAAAGGCCACATCTCCTAATACCATCCCTTTTGGGGGTTAGGATTTCTACATGTGAATTTTTCTGGGGGGTGGGGTGACAAACAGACCAGAGCAAATCTTTTCCAGTGAATCTTGGTCAGTCTGAGGCCTGGAGAGATGGAATGTGACGTCACTAGTACAGAGTTTGCTGCCGAGGATGCAAACAATAGACGTTTTGTTGTTGTTGTTTTGACCAATTGTTTAAGTCCTGCTCAGAGGCCCATCCTCTCAGGAAGCATGGAGCAGGGGACTTCAAAGCAGCCCAAGGCTCTCGAGAAGCGGGGGAAGAGATGCAGCACGGCACAGTAGCTGATGGCTGGGCTCCCAGCTCAAGACAGGAGGATGTGTGTGCACTGACATCATGTAAACTTCCACATTCCATCCCTTCCTCTGCAGATACCATCAGGCTGTGTGCTGGCCCGGGAGCAGAGAGATCACTTAGAGGCTAGTCTTGCCATTCATGTGGGCTGGCTTCACGAGAATGGCATGAAATCTTTCATCCTGCAGGAGAAGCCTGGGTGAAGGGAGGCCCCAAGGATGGAGATTCAGCTGTTGCTCAAGGCTGGCCTTTGGTCAGCAAAAGAGAGCTGCCGAGTGACTTCAGACAAGGAGTGAGCAGAGAGTACCAACAAGGATGTGCAACGCCAGCCTCTCTTTCCTCTGATGCCTGGAAACTATCTTAGGATCCTAGAACAGCACTGGAAGGCACCCTTGAACTTGTCTAATCTAACCTGTTCATTTAATGGATAATGAAACCGAGACTCAGAGACAAGTGAATTGCCGGTGTTTATGCAGCAATGAGGAAGAGGATTAAAGGGCTCCTCTGATCCACTGTGCAGGGATTCTTGGCTTCTGTCCAAAAGTTCTCTCCCCCAGTTTCACAACCATACTGTGAAGCTCATTGAACACCAGTCGCTAAGTGCTTCCAGAACATAGAGCTGGGCTCAACTCTTGGTCGCAACAAGACCCACCTCATATGATGCCAGTTTCCACTTCCTCTGCATTACCAGTGCTGTCCTGAGACAGTGGTTCTCAGACTTGGCCTCACAGTAGAACCTCCTTAAGGATTTGATGCTCAGATCCCACCCCATATCAACTGAATCAGAATCTTAGTGGTGGGACCTGGGAATTTTCTTTTCTTAAAAAAACTTTCCAGTTAAGTCTAATATGCAGACAGGATTGTTAAACATGGTTCTAAAACTGCTAAGTTTGGCTCAAGTCATGACTAATGATAATATTAAATCTACCTGCTCCCCTTTCCCATCTCCAGTCAACACAACGGTTGATTGGAGGATACTCTCTGTCCTCCCTTCTTGTTGGTTTATCATGTGTTCACTCATTTAGGATAAGAGATGCCTACAAGATAGAAAATGGATTTAGGATATGAACCCATTTTTTAGATGGGGAAAACTGAGCCTGAAGATGTTACCAAAGAATTTCAGTATAACAGTAGTTTAGTTATTGAAGAAGTCCCAGGAGTTTGATACTTCCTTAATACCTGGGGATACACTCAACTTATACTTTAAGGGTTGACATAGGCCAAGGAGATAAGCACTTCATGGCTTGATTTAAAGAGTCGTGAGAACAACTCTGATTAAAACCATCTCCCTTTCAGACTCATAGTAGATTGAGAAATCTCTACCAGGAGCCTTTGGGATATTAACCACAAATGTGACATTCCTGGGAGACACCCATGAAGCTTGCATTAATCATTAGTACCATCTTTATACCATGTAGTTATCTGATTCCTAGCAGAGAGCTGTGTAATTAGAACGGGAGCCTGGTGGGGTCAGTTGTGCTGTGGGTGGTGAGGTGGATGGAGTGTGAGACTTCACCACGGAATAGTGAAGTGGGGGACGCTGGTCACCTGAGAGCACAGGGTGTACAATCTGAGATGGGTGAAGAGGTAGGGACTTAAAAGGGGACAGGGGGACTCAGGTAGCAGGACGGAGAGCTCATTTGCTCTCAGACAAAGCTGACAACTGATCAAAGTTGGCACTTTGACCACCTTTTCTGCTCCCTTCTCCCCTTTACAGATTGGTGTCCTCCCAGCCTGCAAGGCCCATCATGTTCAGACATCATCCTGGATCCTTGATTGTTGTCATCATCATCATCGACCTCATAACAGGAACTACCATTAATAAGGAACAAATACCATATATTCTCTGTGCCAAGGATTTTGTACATGTCATCTCCTTTAAATCTTAAATCGACTCTTGGATTAAATGCTACTCTACCAATTTTACAGATGACAAAATTGAGGTTTCCATGTAGCAGAGCTGGGAACTGACACAAGTCTGTCCAATTTGCCCAATGCTATGGCCCTCATGTAGAGGAGTGCAACATAGAAAATTATCTCTTAAGTAATGATAGATTAAAATAAAATTTCCAAGAACGTTCCAAGTTTTTTAAGGAGAGAAGACAGGTGTGGGTCCAGGAAAAAAAATCACTAATTTCGCCTTTTCTGACTCAGCATCAATGTGGAGAAATATCTGCAGGCAGATGCCTCCCCACAACCCCAGATCTCACCCCACCTGCTTGCCCTGAGGATGGATGGAGGCCACACATCACCTGGTCTTTTCCTGGAGTCAGTTCAGGGTCCCATGTCATCAGCTCCACACTTAAAAGATCTCTTGGGAATAACTCTGGGACTGGGGTCTCCTAAGAGCCTCTGGTTCTACTGTGCTAAGAAGTCAGTCTCTCTACTCTGAACTTTCTCACTTATTCTCAACCCTCTTTTCCATTTATTTAGAAAACACTTTTCTCTTCCCAGGAGCCTAGAAGGGCCCTCAGTGGGCATGCTGGATGCTTTTGAAGGATGTCCTGCCAATGAGATCGTTGGGAGAGAGAAAAACCTCCCCCTCTTCCACGTGGAGGTGGATGTGGTGGCAGGGGTGGGGACACAGGGTCACGTGTTCCCCATCCTTTCCTCATCTTAAGACGTGTCATAAGTTAAATATATGCTCTGCCCTGTGGAACCTTAGCTAAAACAGACCGTGCTGGCTGGAAGCTTGCAGCTTCTGAGCAGAAGGCACCGGACAGTCTTCAGTCTGTTTCACGTGGTCTGTTTCCTAAATACTCCTGGTAGATCAGCGAGCAGAGGAAATGTCGCCATATGAACTGCTCTAAAAATAAGGCTCATCTAATGATGTGTTTACCCACACCTGCCCTCTCTTCTTGCTTTTTATCATTACTGCCTTTCGGCTAGGATGCAAAGCCCTAATTTCCCTTAGAAGCTGTCCTGGGGCTGCCACCAAACACGTTCATTGGGAACTTGAACTTGATCACCAGGAAGCAGGTGGTCTGGATTAGATATAGTGTTTATTTTAGGACCGGATATTACCTTCAACGAAAAAACAACCCCAATCAGAAAAAGCCAATACCCTGTTCTGCAACTGAGCTTACTCACCTGTGGAAATGCTGGTCCTTAAACAAAACTAATACCCTCAGAATCCAGCTATCGCCTTCAAGATTCTCATGCAGGATTTCATGGTATTGGACCCAATTGTGTGCACATCGGTTGTCTGGCTTGCCCTTCGTAATACTCACTTAGTCTTTGACAGACATTATTGTGTGTCTTCCTTGCTGTTCTGAGAGTCGTGGAATCTGTGCCCCAAAGAATTTGAGAATGACTGAAAAAATAAAATACATGAAAATCATATGGCATCTAGAATCTTCCATTCCTGATGGTTTATCTCTACACAGTGATAATCTGGATAGCTGTGTTGCCAATGATATCTTTACTCAGTACAAGTAAACTGC